ATCAAAGGCTGCTACCAGTATTTTGAGCCTTGGCGTATCACGACGACCTGGCTTTTTACTAACTTCTTGGCACCAAGAATTAGTATTCTTGTGGTCTGGTAGGGGTAGTTGACAGTGATAGCCATGAGAGATGCAGCTAGATCCCCTGTAAGAGGTTCACGGCTTTTGGGTTCATGCTGCACGATGCAGCCTACCGCAATGCCATCATGGCAATGAATAGATGTGAAGCCTCTAGGCATGGGCCATGCAAGGCAGATGCGTCCTTAGCGAGACTTTCGCAGCAGTTCTCATCTACCTAAGAAGCTGCTTCACTGCACTCTTTAAATTGAACCTCTAACCTCCGGCTTCCGTGGATGCATGCTGAAAACGCTGCCGTAAGGCTGTAGTGACGGCTGATGTCGGCTGTAAGATGGGCTATAGGCCGCAAATGATCATATTTTCGATTGCAGATACCTGAATTTGTATAAGTTGTGCCTCTTGCCTGACTTACAACCATACGCATAGGCAGACACCCAAACTTAATCCCCCCCCCAAGCCCATGTGCCCTGAATCCAGGAGATCCTGATGACAAGGAACCCTAAATAATGAGGGTCTCGGGTTTAGGGGTTTAGGGTTTTGGGTTTACAGGGCTCACAACACACATCAGGTAGGCTTTAGTAGTTTAGCACAACTCAGCCTAAACACACCCAACGCATGCACCCACCCATCTCTGTGCCTTGGCCCTAAAACGCCCTACCAGTATAATGAGGGGGCCTTCATAATTAGAATAGGGTTTTGGGGTACACTATATATACTATAATGAAAATAAGGAACCCGCAAAACCCCTATTCTAATTATCAAGGCCCCTACATTACACACCCAAAGCCCCAACGTAAACCCTACTTCAGATGTTAACTGCACAGCCCCATGAAGCACTAACAGTGAATCCTGTAATATGAAACCTGTAGCCCTAGCCTTTAAACCATCCTAAACCTCTTGGAAAGCAAGTATCAAAACCACATAAGGCCGTTGTTACTAACCCTAAACCCCCGAAAACCCTAAGCCCCAAACCCAAAACCCCCAAAACCATAAGCCCTAAACCCTCCAAAACCCTAAGCCCTAAACCCTTAGGCTTAAACCCCTAAACCCCCTTAGACCCTAAACCCTAAACCCTGGGGGTCTGACAGGCTCTTCGCTTAACCGAGGCCCTGGCTGCAGGGATTCGGACCCACGTACACCTTCACCTCATCTGTCTGGTGCTTAGTAGGGAATGGGTTTAGGGTTTAGGGTTTAGGGTTTAGGGTTTAGGGTTTAGGGTTTAAGGTTTAGGGTTTAGGGGGATCCCTATGATAGTCCCTTAAGGTCCCTTATAGTAGTCCCTATAACCCATTCCCCCATTCCCTACTAAGCACCAGACAGTCATCCGAAGGTTTAGGGTTTAGGGTTTCAGGACGCTGTGAGGGTTGCGGATGTAGGGCTGTAGGGCTTATGTTGAAGGGTTAATTAATGGGGCTCTGCAGGGTCTTATGAGGAGGGGTAGGAGGCGATAGGATTAACAATCTTGTTTCAGCTACACTTCTCCCCAGAAGCACCCTCCACCGCATGATGCATCTCCATGGATAGACAACCAAATCGACAAGCGGACCCAACACGCACCAACGAAACGCCTGAAACCTTTGCTCCTAAACCCCTATACGGGGGTTTCCGAAAACAGGGGACCCTAATATAGTACCCTAAATAGTAGGACCCCTATTATAAGGAATCCAAAATAAGGTACCCTAGTTTTTGGAAACTCCCATACAGCAGACCCCCAATCTCTTTCCGGAGGATGCACCGACCGCGGCTTGAATCGCCAGGCAAGCTTCGTGGCCTGCGCGGAATCAACATGGCAAGGATTTGGGTGTTGGGATATTCGGGATGTAGTTGATGTAGAGGCCTTAATAATTAGAACAGGGTTTTGGGGGCCCATTATACTGTAATTGTAATAAGGAGCCCCCGAAATAGTATAGGTAATTACTAAACCCTAAACCCTAAACCCTAAACCCTAAACCCTAAACCCTAGGTCCCTATATTTCAGTTTGCCCGAAAAGCTGACATTTCGGATTTAGAGCTGCCTCTGGGCTTCAGGGAGCAGGGCCCAGGGCTTTCATGCCGCAAATAAGACGATCGATTCTCTTAGGGTTTAGGGTTTAGGGTTTAGGGTTTAGGGTTTAGGGTTTAGGTTTATCTAAATTTCTGTTGATGATATAAATCCTACATTGCATTATAAGCACCCTAAACTATGGGAAGTTGTGGTATGTTCCTTATGATGCGAAATGCGGGATTTATATCATCAGCCGTATCTTGGGCGGCAGGATCCTCCTCGGGAGAGTTCAGTGTTTTCTGATAGGCCGTTCTCCCACTGCAGTACCAACGGTTGGCATGGATTTGCTGGTCAGGCCACCTGCATCCACCGGCTTTGCATCAGCTGACGCATATAAGCTCATACTGTTGATGGACAAAATTCTGCATGACCCAAATATAGTACCATAAATCCCATAGTTTAGGTATATAAGGTCATGCAGGATTTTGTCCATCAACGGTAAGAAAACATTCCCTAAACAAACACACCCATCTACTGATATAACAGTAGCAATAATAAGGACAATATGAAAATTAGTAAGAATAGCAATACTACTACTACTACTACTACTACTACTACGACGACGACGACGACGACGACGACGACGACGACGACGACCATCACGACGACGACTAGTACTACGTCTACTACGTCTACTACGACTACTACAACTACTACGACTGATACTACGACTACTACTACGACTACTACTACGACGACTACTACGACGACTACTACGACGACTACTACGACGACTACTACTACTACTACTACTACTACTACTGCTACTACTACTACTACTACTACTACTACTACTACTATACTGCTATTGCTACTGCTACTGCTACTGCTACTGCTACTGCTACTGCTACTACTACTACTACTACTACTCCTACTACTACTACTACTACTACTACTACTACTACTACGTGCTCGGCAAAAGTTTAGCACGAACTGTAGCGAGAAATGGTTTGGGGCACCCCAGTACTCTGAATACTGAATCCTGGAACCCTAGACCACACTGAAAATCGGTATCACAATCCTACGAAAATCCCAAAGCCTCGCAACGCTTCCAAACCTTGTGCCAACTCCTGTGCGATCTAATCAACATCCGAAAAAACCCAATGAAGCCCACAAGTCCCATCAGGCCTGCGCGCAACTGGTCTACACCCAGGCACGCGGGCAACACTGTGCCCTCTTGTCTATAATAAAAACCGCGAAGAACACTTACAAAACAAGGCCTGTTACTCTTCGAAGTTAAATCCTACACGAGCCTCCCAACTCACAAGTCTGAATATCATACTTTTTAACCCTAAGGGCCCATGAACTCATGTAAAAGGGAAAAGCCTATATGGCTTTAAAAGTGGTTCCTCACATCGTAGTTCAGGGTCAAATCTCACACCTGCACCAGGTAGCTTTGGCCCAGGTCGAGTTGGAACCTCGGCCAAGCAAGGCTTTGGGTAGTGACACAGCAACAAAGAAGAGCGATTCGTCGGGTTATCAGGGTAACCGGTCTTGTTGTAAAAAGCTCAAACAAGGCCGCTATGAGGCTTAATTACGTGCTTCAACAGGAATCACATGGTTTCGGAAACTGTGCCATGTAAAGTAACAGTGGGATACTTTGTTGGGGGCTGTCGAGTCTTAAACCCTTTACTTTATCAGTGCTGGGGAAAAAGCAGGCCAACGAAGAACCAACGAAGAACAACTGCGTGGTTTCAGGCTTCAACGTCCCTCCTAAACCCTAAACCCTAAACCCTAAACCCGTAAACCCCTAAACCCTAAACCCGTAAACCCCTAAACCCTAAACCCTAAATTATTCGTCCCCTGACCGCCAGAATGACCCCAAATACTCCGAAGCTCTGAAACACTACACCTGTGCAGCACCAAATCCTGAAGCTGCAGACTTAAAGCCGTCAAATCAATCCTAAGCCTCTACAGTCTTAGCTGCCCAGTACCCTGGCCCAAAAAAGTTTAAACTGTTCTGTTAGCAGGGGCTTAATATACCCAAAAAGTTTAAAATTTACCTATTGGGCTCCTAAGCAGTGGACAAGCGTAACCACGAATCGCCCGTCAGCCGCCACTGAGAACAGGGCTCCGCCGCATAGGTGGACAAAGGTGTGGCCCAATACGTCTCCTAGGAGGCCACATTCTGAAAGGGTTTCAGGGTGTATAACCCTATAAACCGTAAAACCCTAAACCCTAATTAAACCCTAAAGTCTTTATAGGCTTATGGTCTCGGGGTTGGGGCTAGGCTCAGGGGGGCTTGCGTAAAGGGTTTCAGGGCTTGCAGGTTTATAGTCCTAACCCCCCAAGGTACCTACTATATAGGGTACTACAGCCCCTAGGGCCATATATAGTAGGTACCTGGAGGGTTCGGGTTTGGAACATGGGCTGTCGGATTCGAGGGTGTATGGTCTTTGTGGGCTTATGGTCTCGGGGTTGGGGCTTCCGCCTCTTGGGGACTAAGGACCTGCATTATTTTGCGATTTAGACCATCTAGGGTTTAGGATTTAGAGTCAAGCCTTTATGTACGGGAATGTCCTGGAGAGCGTGGGCAGGTGTCTTCACGGCTGTGGCTGTGTGAGGCTTTACAAGACCGTGCGTAGCTGGGGGGTTTGATTAAGCCCTCTGTTGCACCAAAGCGTGGGTCTTGTGGCATACGGCATATTCTTGGAGAGCTACTGAACTTACACTGCGTCGCGCTGACCATCTTTACTGCCGTCGTGGTCTTCAGCTGCAACATCATCACCACCATGGTAAGCTGCATCTTCTCATGTCTAACTGACACCTGTTCAGACCCGTATAAGTAACCAACGCAGAAAGGCAACACTGATACAATTTACAACTGCAGGCTACACTGAGCTTCACGTTTTCTTACCGCTGCCCAAAGGTGTGAGTGTCAGGTGTCCAGGTTCCGCGAGAATTGCCGCAAGAAGATAAAGAAGCACGCCAGCGCACCGCATTGCAGCACTTCACGGTACTCTTCTCGAAGCACTGAGGAGATCCTTTACAGGGGTTTGGGTTTCCTTTAAAGGAACCCTTAAGGGAAGCCTGAACCCTCAAAGGGAACCTGTTATAGAACCCCATAGTACCCTTAAAGGGGGCCCTGAAGGGAACCCTGTTCCGATTATTCGGGCCCCTACTTGTAGGTTCATGGGACTTACTCAGTACAGCTATAAGTACTTTATTTGGGGTTGTAAGAGCACGCAAACGAGAGACCTGCCCGCTGCCCGAGGCCTCGTAAGCAGCCACCAAAGCACGCACATACAAGACCTGTACGCTGCAACCACCCCATCAGCAACGCGCGTCACCACAGTTCTGAGGCCTCGTAGCAGCCACCAGACACCTGTACGCTGCAACCACCTCATCATCCACCTGACTCTTGGAGGTACTTGTGGAGGACTTTCCAACTCCTGGACCAGGTCGAGCAGCTTTCCGTGCAAGCTTTTCAGTTGATCGGCCTCGGACTTCAACATGTAAGCGACCTCTTCGTCTTCGGAGTAGTATCGCGGTTGCGCAGTGTTGCAGATGATAATCTCAGGTTTCATCCCCATGAGCTGGTTCAACATATGTTGCATCTTGAGGGCCACGTCCAGGATGATGTCGGGCTCGGCTTGGCGAAGCATCTCCAAGTTCTCCTGTGTACGGCTCTTGGCCACGGCATCTACGCACCTGAGGTACTGTCTGTTGAGGCCGTGCTTCTTAGCTTGCAGGAGGCGAGCACCACTGGGCGGAAGAGTAAGCAGCAGATCCTCGCAGGTTTGCTTGATGATCTCCACCTGGTAGTAGTCACTGATTGCAAGAAGCGAATCAACATTGGCTTCGGTCACTTTGTCTCTGCTCCATGCCCAAGGTCCAAGTAGGTTGTAGAAAGTGATGAACTCCTTTTTGCTGGCCACATCCACCTCGATGACACCTTGCTGCGCTTCCTTCATGCCGCTCGCCAACATACGGTTGAACACAGGAGAGGCCAGGCGAAGTAAAGCAGAATTTGCCGGCATGGGGTCCACGCCGAAGTGCAGAACCACATCGCTGATCTCTTCCGTTGTCGCCGTCGCTTCCGACATCTCCACTTTCCTACCTAGTTACACGGCCTGCGCAAGACTGATTTCGACAGGGAGTCCAGGCAGCTGACAGATGCAGACTGAGCGCTGCTTGTTTGGGCCGTGTCTGCATGCAAGAGCATCTATGCAGACCGATCTAACACTATGCACTGTGCGGCTGGGGTACTTCAGTCGGATTTTGTCTCTCATCAGTTTGGTAGCCGCCACAAACTTCAAACCCAAGCCCAAATTTATCGCAAACGAGCGACATAGTCTCCATCGACAGCACTGGTCGCTGGCCTGACATCGATTGGCAAGGGGCAAGAGTGCAAGGGGTATGTAGTGTATACATGTATATGTATATACATATACATATACATATGCGTAGGCATGCACAGATACATACATATACACATACAAACATACACACACATGCATTCATACATACATACATACATACAGACAGACAGACATACATACATACATACATGCACATACATACATACAGCTGAGGCCGGGGATTAGGCCAAGGATCCAGAAGAATTGGAGCGCGAGTGGTATAGATATTGTACTTGTATTGCATAGGGACGCACAACTTGCCTTGACTAGAAGCGCTAAAGTCAGATTACATCGTCTCAAACCTTATAACGGCTGGTTCGGGGGTAATCACGACTATTGCCGGCTGTTGAGAATTCTATATTAGCCAACTCTGGTGTCTTTGGATCTGCTTGGAGGTTCATGTGTAGTTACAAGTGGGGTCATTCGAAGGGTAATTACAACTATAACCCCTGCTAGGGGACTTATAGCCCCACTTATAACTGCCCATGAACCTCCAAGTGAGTCTCGTTGACTGCGGCTCTAGGACTTCGGAGCTTAGGGTTTAGGGTTGCAAAGAACAATATATAACAAGAACAATAAGCACATGAAGTAGTATATAGTAACAACTTCTACCAAGAGCAGTCATGATGATACTTGATGTAATAGAAACAGTAATAGCACAAACAGAACAATTGTCATGTGATGACACTAAGGACACTAACAGTAACAATAATCACAAGAATAATTAGAAGAACGACAATGAGCTTAGCATTCACGGCTGCGGGCCTGACCTCAGGCTCGCAACACCTGACTAGAAGCTCCGAAGAGAGGTTCAAGCCCCAAGAACTCATCATACAGAAGCCTACGGATGAAGATTATTCAAAGAAAGAAACGAAGAAACACTAAGGGAATAGTCCCAGTAATAGTATTCCTGGTTAATTACTCAAACTTCCATACTGCACAGATGCTGATTTGGCCAAAGTAGCTTGTTGAAGTAGTTGTAGACCGTCGTCTTCTGAAGCCGCGCAACGTTCGTGTCGCGTTCTACCTCGATCTCCTCAGCTCTGCGTTGTTTGTGTGCGGTGGTTACGGGCTTATAATAGCAATTATACAAGGGGTTCATTCATAGAGTTCTAGTTGGTTTCGTAGGGGGCCGCTTCACATTGGTTGTAGAGTCAGGTAGGGGTTTCGCAAGGCTCTGTCGGGCGAGGCTATAGTCGGATTGTATAAACATGCATATGTGAGTTATAGATAACCAGCGGGGGTAGATGGTTCGTTTAGGACGTCTATTTTCCACGTCATGCCTACAATTGAATGGGGGCTGTCCCAGTTGGGACCTCACTTCGCACCTCTTTGAAGCTTCAGTAGAGTTCCACAAAGTACGCACCTCCGCTTGCCCAAGTTCCAAGCTCGAAAATCATATGCAGCAACCTGATCAGGAACCCCCTGATGTAAATTGGTAAAGTACTCGGAACCATGTTGGGTTACCTTATAGGATTCTATATATGAACCCACAAAGGAACTACTCTAGGGCCTATGGTGAGAACCTTCACAACCAATGTGAACGAGGGGTGTCTCAATCAGGGTCCTACATTCAGGCCTCAGGATTCTTCGAGCCGCCCTCCCACGCCTGCATGGCATGGCAACGTCAGTCAACCAAGCATACCCCTAAACTCTAAACCTTACACCCTAGACCCTAAACCCTACTAAACCCTAAACCCTAAACTCTAAACCCTCAAGGCCCCTTGGGGTGAGAGGTGTTAGAGGCGCGACAGCCCGCAAAAACTGAAGCTCTACATCCGGCGGGACCGGGAATTTTGGAGCAAAAGCACGTCCAAAAAGGCCTTAACCCCATGTATATGGGGTTTAGGCTTTAGGGTCTAGGGTTTAGGGTTTAGGGTTTAGGGTCTAGGGTTTAGGGTATAGGGTATGTATGGCAAGTCGGTCGAGGCTTCGAGGCCTTGGGTGAGGGATGAAAGCCTCAGGGCTTAGCCAACTAGGTCTCTCAGCAACCCTAGTAACCAGGAACTACAATACACCCCCACCCCAATCCTAAACCCTAAACGGCCCTAAACCCTAAACCCTAAAAACCCTAAACCCTAAACCCTAAACCCTAAACCCTAAACCTTAAACCCTAAAACCCAAGGGCCCAAAAGCCTTAGACCTTAAACTCCAAGCCCTCATCCTCCTCTACGTGGAGGATGATGGGACTTAACAAGTACAGTTATAAGTACCTTAAGTAGGGTTCGGTTAGGGTTTAGGGGTTTAGGGGTTTAGGGTTTAGGGGTGTATGGTTTAGGGTTTGGTTATCAGTGGTTATAAGTATAGTTACACTATTTATAACACTAGTTGCTAAGTTCCATGAACCTTTTCACTTCACTTCACGGGCCTCTTGCGTAGCCAAGTCCGACAAGTCCAACTATCTACGCTAAGTCCCATGAACCTTTAAAGTAACGTGCAAGGCCAAGCCACATAGATCGAGAACACCGGCTTTCCCTCGTCGATGCCAGGACCTCTTCAGGTTGCATAGGCTTCACGGGGTTCAGGATGTTACGAATTATTCAGGGGTTTAGGGTTTAGGGGATAGGCTTTATTATGGGGTTTAGGGTTTTAGAGTCGAAGGATTCAGGATTTAGTGTTCTAGGGTCTAGGATTTGGAGGTTTAGTGTTTGGGGCTTACCTAGACCCTAAAGAACCTACCTTTTTAAGGACTTGTAAAAAGGAAATCATAATAAGGAGCCCTAAAAAGGTAGGTTCTTTCGGGTCTAGGTATGGTAGCCGTATAGGGTTTGGGAGTTTAGTGGCCATGGACCTTCTGGGTAACTGCTTGGAGCGCAAGGTTGGAGACGGTAGGGTTGCGGGATGCAGGCTTCTCATGTAGGGGCCTGAATAATTAGAATGGGGTTTTGGGTTTACCTTTATAGGGGATCTATATAAGGGTTACTATAACGGTTCTATAATGTAGGGTCCTTCATAATTAGAATCGGGTTTTGGGGACCATTATACTATAGTTATAGTACGGAAACCCCCGCGCCTGTATTAGGCTCATCGCAGCAAGTGCATGCATCAAGCAATTATGCTTACCTACTTTAGGGCTGCAGCTGATGCTTGCATGCGGTTCATTGAAGATTCGCGCCTGGGATGATGCAGCATGCATTAAGGGTTTAGGGTTTAGGGTTTAGGGTTTAGGGTTTAGGGTTTAGGGTTTAGGGTTTAGGGTTTAGGGTGCAGGGAAGTCTATGAAGATAGCAGCATCAGATATTATGGGGCCTATCTTTGGTGCTCTTTTCCGGGGTTTTCGGGTGGATGGGCTCACGCTAGTGGACTTCCGGTGGGGAGATGCCTCACAAGGACGACCCCGGCCTTGCAAACCGTCTCATCACAGAACTTTGTGAGACAGCTTCTAGTAAGCCAATCGTGCCAACCTCAACAGGTCTCTAAAAGAGCAGTTCCATTTCCGACCGAATTGCCCAGAAAAGTGCCCTTTCTTAAACCTAGACCCTAAACCCTCAACCCTAAACACTGGGAGTCACTGGGCTTTCGGGTTTAGGGCTTCCGAGATGGGATCCCTCAAGAATCACCAGAACAACATTCGGTAGGGTTTAGGGTTTAGCGTTTAGGGTTTAGGAAACCCTAAACCCTAAACCTTAACCCTAAACCCAAAACCCAAAACCCTAAACTACCCTAAACCCTAAACCCTAAACCCCAACCCTACAAACAGCCCTCCGGCAGCCTCGGGTCGCCGCAGCACGCGTCATACGCAGCTGCAGGTAGTTCGCCCCGAAGAAGGCCTGGAAATCAAGACTCCCGGGTTTGTGCTCTGATAGCTGAATAGGGTTTCGGGGGAATATATATATATATATATATATATATATTAGTATATAGAGACCACAAAGGGGATATATGAGAAGAGTTGCTGTTTGCGTCTTGGGCTTCCGGGCTACTGGTGTAGGTTCAGGGTTTGGAGCTTCGCGGCAATTGGCTCCAGACTTCAGGGGCTCGTAGTTTAAACTTTTCTTGGGCTTGTTGTCCCGGAGCGCCACGAATGAGTTGTAAGGGTACTACTCCTCTGTTAGTATGGGGTCTTTTAAAATTGGAACTGGATTTTGGGACACGGAACGCAAAGGAATAGTGCCAGCAACTGCTTTTTCAGGCTTCTAGGGCGTTTTATGCTTCCTTGACAGATGTACGAGGTATAGAAAGCAAAGATGGGGTAGGGAGGTTGCAGGTATTGCTTGAGTACCCTTTCCGATGCGAGCCAAAGGCTCTGACTTGGTAGAACTCACGGTTCGTAGTACTACGGCTGTTGGACAAAATCCTGCATGACCTTGTTTGACCTAAACTATGGGATTTTATTTATGGTACTATATATTATACCTGGGTCATGCAGAGTTTTGTCCATCAACAGTATTTGTGTAGAGGAACATTTGAGGCATGGTCAACTTACCTATGGCCCTACCCAGAACTGCGCACCCTGTAACACAAGCCTGGACCCTTACCAAAACTCTAGACCTGCATATACTCCTAAACCCTTCAGAAACTCGAAGGCCAATATCAGAGCCTGGTGCCAGGTGTAGGTGTCCTGCGTTCGCGCTTGAAGCATAGCACTCAATGACCTACCTTCTACGGTCTGCTTGTTATAATTTCGCTATCTAAACAAATACATGAATGAGAGAGAGATACCTCTATATATATATATATATGTATACATATATATATATATATTTGTTTACATTTATATATATTTATATTTATATTCATTTATTTATTTATTGATTTATTCATGAATTTATACAGTCGGTCTGCTTTCAGGAGAACCTGGTTCCTCCGATTATTTCGACAGACTTAGGAGGTGTCCTAGGCATGAAGGCATTCAGAATCTGCGGACTACGCCTCCCTGTCCTATGAAGTACTCCATGACAGCGAACCGTTCGGCGAACAACGTCTTGAAGATAGTCAGCTGTAGATGTTGGAACCCTACTTGCCTCAAGCCCAAGCTCGAAACAGCTTAAACCCAAAGCCTTAAACTCCTACACCACAGACCCGGAAGCCGTAAACCCTAAACCCTAAACCCTAAACCCTAAACCTGGTCCTGGTTCCCAGTCACCTCGATGATAGTCCACCAGGTGATGTTGTCCAACGAGACCTGACATACCAGGCTCGCGTGAGAAGCGTTTCTGGGCTTTATTAGGGTTTAGGGTTTAGGGTTTAGGATGCTTTAGGCTAGGGGTCCTTAGGGAGCTTTAGGGAACCTGAGGGAGCCCTAGGGAGAATTGGGGATTATTGGGGTTATAGACCCCTCTTGGAAGCCCCTCCCTTAAGGATCCTATAAGTTAGGGTTAAGGTTTAGGGTTTAGGGATGTTTAGGGTTTAGGGCTTCATCCGCGTCGGTGCCTCCAGTCCTGTAGCCCATCATCGACTAAGTGGCCTCTATACTCTAGGGTGTCTATGGTAGCCGCTCAAAACACCTGCCCCCGAAGAAGCCACAAGGTACGTTCCCCTCGTGTCTAGGACCGCCGTACGAGGAACTGTATTCCCCCTTTTTTTTAACGATTCTGAGGCTCAGCGCAAAATCCGGTGTTCTGCTAATGCCCTAAACCCTAAACCCTAAACCCACGAACAGCCAACCTGAACAAAGTAGTCCGATGCCGGCTCCTTCCAGTAGATGATGACCTCAGGCAGGAGCAGGCTCTACTTGGAGGTTCATGGGACTTAAGAAGTACAGCTATAAGTACCTTAATTGGGGCTATAAGTAATTATAAGTATAGCCACTTTATGTATAATCGTAGTTACTAAGTCCCATGAACCTTTAAGTAGCTGGGTTCAGGCAGCTTGCAGCTTTGTGTATGGTCTTTCAACCCCCAAAACATGAACCCCAGACCCACTGAACCCTAAACCTGAACCCCAAACCCCTTAAACCCTAAACCGAAAACCCACCATAGACCCTAAACGCTCCACAACTCTTCTAAACTCTATCCCAGGGGTGACTACAACTAAGGACTGTAAGATACATGTGTATATATATATATGTATATTATATATATATATATATACATATAAACATACACACACACACAACTACTAAGTCACACAAACCCCCAATAGAGTTTTGGTCGAGTGGCCGCCCCGCCGTTTTGGAAGCCGTCCAAATCCAGCCACAAGGTGGCCGAATGGGTCTGTACACCGCGCGTCCTCGGAACGAGGTGTTGTGACTTGCAGGAAGATGCCACTAATCGTTTGCGTTTGCAATTCTTGTGTTGAGTTCCCAAACATGAAAAACGGACATTTCATGGCTTCAAGCTGCTGCTTGTGAGGTGTTGCCGATCCATGATTGGTTTTGGGCTTGGCTCCCGATAATCCAAGTGAGAGACTATGCCTTCCAGCATCCACTCCCCAAAAACTGAAAATTCCGCCCGACCTTTCAATGAAACCGAAGGCGGTTTTCCTGCCTTCCTAAATTGCAGCATACAAGACATCATAACAGAGCTCGAACCCCCGAGGAGGCGAAAAGGGAACCCTCAGCCACCTTAGCCCTGAACCCTCAGCCCACAATGCAGGGGCCTTAATAATTGCGTGGGGTTTCGGGGGTTCCTGATTATTATGGCCCCTGTATTAGGTTTTTCGGTTTCAGTTCCGAAACCGACACCGAAACCCAAGACTGCACCCTCCCAAACCGCCGCCACAAGCTGTCACCTTGGGCGCCAGACCCGACTTGTGAGGACCAGTAGGTCGTCAAGATGCCGTCCTCGGCGTTCAGGATTTGGGGATAATATAGAGGCCGTAGTAGTTAGGATACGGGATTGGGTGACTAGATGATTCTACTATACTTTCAATAAGGACCCTGAGGAACAGTATTGCCAATTATTTCGGCCTCTGTATGAGAGGGCTTGGAACGTGTGGTGCATAAAGACCCTAGGGACTTCAAAAAGTCTTTATACCACCAAAGTGGTTCTCGTTGACATCTACCCAGGATAACAAGCTGATGCAGGACATTCTGACCCACAAAGGAGCATTCTTGCACGGTTCCATAAAGCTCTAAGTGCAGGAAGCCTAACTCGCGAGTGCGACATGCAGAGAACTCCTCTTAAGAGCTGTTGAGGTGCTTTGCCGGGATTGAGTTTTCAGGACGAAATAGTTTGTGACCCCGGGAAACGGCTTGGGTCCCGTTGGCACATGATGAACGTATCTACAACACCCTACCTAAAGGTTCATGATTCATGGGACTTAGTAACTAGGGTTATAAATCAGGTAACCATACTGCTAATTACTTATAACCCCAATTAAGGCACTTATAACTGTACTTATTAAGTCCCATGAGCCTCCAAGTAAACCC